TCATTACTTGTAATTTCTTTTATTTTCTTTGGAAAAATCTATAAATCTTAATAAAATAGTTGGCAGAGTCACATCAATAAAAAAAAAAAAAAAAAAATTGAATAAAAAAAAAAACTCTCTCATATTTTATAAAACCAAAAATTTTTATAGAAAAATAAAAAATAGTTTGTTTTTAACAAAAAATTGATTAATAAATCAGTTTCTTTTGTTTTACCTCACCTTTTACCTTACGCAAAAGAGTTATGACATGTAAAAGTGCTATAAAATAAAAAAATAATGATTTTAAATTCGTTTCATATATTGCTCCAAAAGCTCCAAAAAAAGCTGCTATTTTTACTCCAGCTTCTTCGTCTTCTTCAACCTTAACTTCAGTTCCTACCAACCTAGATTTAGAAATTATCCAAGAAGTTTTTGGCTTACTACTAAATAAAAAAATGGATTTTGAAGTTTATAACATATTTAAAATTACCACTATCAACAAAATTTCACCAGTTATTCTGCCTTCGAATAATAACATTAATAATAACATAAAAGTTGATAATATCTCTGAAAACTCTTCTTCATCCAAAAATAGGTCAAAACTTTTAGATCCTGACGAATATCTTGAAGACAATAATATGGAAGAAGACTTAAAAGATTTCATTGTTATCACCAAAGCTACTCCCTTTGCAGTTGCCAGCAGTATCAAGTTTACACCTAAGGAAAAGAATAACAGCAAAATTATTCTAACTATCAACAATATTTTTGCTCAAAATGATGACAAGATGCAGCATAGTCAAATGAATAAAAATTTACTTTATTATGCAGATAAAGTAGAGAATTAGAAGGATTTACTTAAAAATAAGGTATAAATTGCAACATTGGCATTTACTTGCAAATCACATAAAATTTTAACATTTTTATTCTATTTTATCTAGATTACTATTGGCGAAGAATAGGATAATGATGGTGAAGATAGTGAAAAATAACAAACTGATGACAAAGAACAAGATAATGATAAAGAATAAGATGATAATAATACACAATCTGAAAAGTTGAATTTTTTTGAAGATGACTATAAATTATTAATATCCAATCTATATTTTCTGATTACATATCTTAACTATGCTAGCACTCATGAGGTTTAGCGTATAATAATAATTGAATAAAATAAAGAGTATTTCATAGTGATATATGATAATGCTAATTATTTGTATACATGCATGGGCTTGTAGCAAGAGAATTAGTTTGTCATTATTTATTTTCAGTAATGTTCAATTCGGATAAGGCTATGTTTCATATAAAGCTCATTCCAGATTGATGGTATAATGAAAAGTTTCCTGATTTTTAAGAACCCGTAATTACAATTTACAGCGAAAAGTAGTGGTCTGATCCATGGATACAAAATCTGGATATCTGTACAGATATATAGATATCTGAATAAGTAGTTTTAAATAACAGATACTAAATTACAGATATGCAGATATCTGCAGATATCTGCAAATATCTGCAAATATAACAATTATGTTGACTAATTATGCATATAAATAAATTGTGTGAAACAATTTTTTTTTCGTCATTTTCTCACATTATTAGAGAAATTTAATTTTTTTTTTCAATTGACTTTTTGTTAAGTTTTTATTACTTTAGCAATGTAGTTTTATTTAACATTAAGTTCTATTTATTTGTCAAAAGTTTTATCACTTTTATTAAAACTCCTAAAACTTTAGATAAAAAAAATTAAAACTAAAACAATAGACAATGTTTTATATTTTTTAAACCAACATTAATTAAAGCAAAAAGTTGAATATTTTGCTTTTTTTTATTTAGTTTTTTCTAAGTCACATTGATTTTATGTAGATCATTTAAAATTTAAACACGCATAATTTTAATTTTACGTGTTTTTTACTTTAAGTTCGAATAGGTTTGTAAAAATGTCACAATCAGAAAATCATATAAAAGATTTGATTCCTGAAGTACCTGAAGTAAATGGATCAAAAAGATCAGTACAAAGTATTAATGAACCATCAAAATGACAAAAACAAAATTTACATGTACTTATAATTGAGTTAGAATCAGATACTAATATAAATAATCAGTCAAAATCACAAAAAAATAGAAAAATCGACTTGAATAAAATAGCTGATCAGCTAATTTTAATTTCAAATGCTAAACCACCGGAACAAAGTTGGATATGGGGATAATTTGATTTATATAAACCAACTGCACAATATAAAAGAATTATGAGATGCTTAGTTTAAATTTAACAAAAAAATAATATAGAATCATGTGATCATTTTATGGGGACTGATGGTTCTACTGGTAATTTTATTGTTCATCTTACTACACATCGAATTACTGAAGAAAGTCATAAAAGAAATATGAATGAAATGCAAAAAAAAAAATCTGTTATCACAACCTGTATAGAAAAATGATACTATCAATCAAAATGAATAATCCAGATATCAAAAATCATCGAGATCGAAAGTTTGTTAGAATTTTAGTTAAGGATAATCAGCCAATTAGTATGTGTAATAATGAAGGATTTGCTGAATTTATTTATGAATTTGATCCAAATTATCAAATTCAATGTGATAAAACAATTCAGCAATTATTAGCTGAAGCATATAATCAAATCAAAGAAATTTTAGTAGTAAAGCTTAATGAACATGTATTATCCTATTCTATAACAACAGATCTATGAATAGCGTGAAGTAGAAGTAGATATATTAGTATTATGTGTTCTTTTATTGACAATGATTTTAATCTTTGTAAAGCAATTTTAGCAATTCAATATGTACCTTACCCTCATACTGGTGATAATGTTTGTAAAATTTTACGTGAAATTATTTCTAATTGGAATTTAGTTGGCAAGGTTTTTACAATGACAACTGACAATAGACCCAATATGATTCAGGCTGGAAAATTAATGAATGAACTTACACAACTCCCTTACATTACATACACATTACAGTTGGTTGTAGTATTACCGGTGTAGAGTCAACAATTTTATTATTTAAGATACAACAATACAAAAGGAAATGATCAACAATATACAGTAAAAGTTATAAGGAAAAGTCATATGATAAAAGAAGAAATAATCATTTTATTAAAAGAAAGTATAATACTCAGATAAATTATAGACTGAAAAGGAAGATTACACAAAATAGATAAATCACGAAAGAAAATAATTCAGATAAATTAGTTATCAAAGGAAAAAGGATAATTAATCGAATGGAAGGTCAAGGAAAAAGGATAATTAATCAACCGGACGGAAGGTCTTATAAAAAGACTTGGAAAAATAGTTGAAAAATAACAAATTGAAGAAGTTACACGAAGATGCAAAAAGGTTACATAAAGGCACAATCGTTAGGAATGACAAATTGGATCACATTGAAGCTTGTATAACATAAAGGTTACACATGACATCATAAACAAAAAGGAAATTAGAAGAAGAACAGAAATTAATAGTGATATGAAGTACGGAAGAAAGACAGAAATACGAAAAAGTAAGAAGGAAAAATTATTTAAACATTGAATAAATACAAGGAAAACGAATGATAATTAATATAACAGAAGTAAAAGTATATAATGGAAGTATAAATTAATACAACGGAATGAAATTAAATAGTAAACAATAAACAACAAATAATAAACAATAGTAATACAGAATTTAGTAATAGTTCGGAATATAAGAAAACATTAAAAAGCAGGAAAAGTGAATATTAAACATCACATAGGAAATAATTAGTTTATTCATCATGGGAAGGTTACAATTAGTGACAGATATTAAATATCACATAGAAAATAATTAGTTTATTTATTACATGTAGTTACTATTTATCACCTTTACTATGTAAATTTAGTATATAAACACCTTAACGTTAAATATCTTCAAGGAACAAAGTCGTCGTTTAATTTCCAAGAATAAAAAAAAAAAAAATTTAATAAACTTTTAACACAAATAAAATGAATACTTTTGTTTAAAATAATTAATTGTTGAACAATAAATTATGAAAATAAATAAAGTTATTTCGCTTGTATATAAACTTAAATTTTAGAAAAATGGTAATGAAGTAATGCAGAAATATAACTTAAAGGAATAATAAAAATATGACAGAAGTTAAAGAATATTTAAACGTAAAGATATGAAGAGAAATAAATAAAA